GGTGTTGCCGAGTTGGTGGATCTGCCTCGCGAACCAGCTGACTCGGTCCGTCGGGCGCATGTCTTTTGGCGGTTCTTGGAGCCGGGGCGTGGTTTCCTCGTCCAGGTCGACGAGGGGGGGCGTTGTCTTTTCTTGCGGTGTCGACGGCGTGCGACCGGCCGGTGACGACGGCGTCGGCCCGACGTTCGGGACGGGCGGCTCCGACCGGCGAGCGCTGGCTGCAGCCACGAGCTCCTTGGGCGCGGGTCTGATGGGGCGCCGATGCTGCGCAGCCGCGGCCCCTTGCTCCGGTCGCTCTCTGTTGTCCACGGGGGAGAGCTCACGGAGGGGCAGACGCGCTGGTCCAGGCAGCGCTGGCAAGGCGAGCCGCGACTCGTGTGCTGCACTGTCGCGGCGGCGGGAGGTGGGCAAACGGGAATGACCTGTTTTCCGGTTACATGGCAGATATTGTAACTGTCCGTCTGCTGCCACTTCGTACACGGTTCCCTCGCCTGGGGTTTTTGGTTGACTTGTCATTGTTGCACTCTCACACACACTACACGAATCGCACGCTGCGCACTCACACTAGTACCACGTACAACCACACAGACACTGGCTGACACTGCTTAAAGTTTATAGGCGCGTACTGCTGGAGGTAGCGTGGACTCGATGGGCGAACAGCACCCTCTCTCGCACAACGGCAGGACAGCAGCTGAAGTGCACTCGACGACTGTCGAAGGAGAACTGACCTGCGGGTGCCTCCGAGCCCTTTTTTAGAGCGGCTGCGCGAGGGTGGAAGGATGGCTGCCTGCTCGTCGATGACGCGAACAATTAGCCACGGTGACAGCTCGGGCTGCGCGCGCAGGTGAAATTCTGATACAGGTAAGGGATACAGAGCGAGGCCAACAGAGGAAATGTAAGGCCACACAAAAAAATAATCAAATTACAATAATAATGGGGAATATGTCCAGTCTCTAGACTTAACTGCTACCCAACACCACTTAAAACTAACTTAATTATAATATATTCTAATATCTACGGCCTAGAGCCACGGTGCCCTGGCTCCGGCGTTCGCCCGCCGTCCTTGGCCGCGGTGCTGCCGGCCGCGGAGCGGGAGGCCTCGCGGCCGCGGCGTGATGCAGACCCCGCGGTGGTGGGGGTTGTTGGCGGCGAAACTGCTGACCGCCGCGGGCTGGCTGGCGCCCGTGCTCGCGGCGTTGGTCCCGTCGGTCCGGCGTTGACTGCCTCGGGCGCTCCTCGCACACCCAACATGTCGGCGGCGGCGGGTGGCGGAGATGCGGGAGCTCCCATCTAGCTCGACCAATGAATAGCCGCATGTCTCGAAGGGCGCAGACGAGTTTGAGGCGACCGCCAGGACTGTCCACGAGTTCCGGGGCATCCAACAAGAGTTGCAAAGTCTCTTGCGTAGCCAAGAATCCCTCCCAGGCGTCTTCTAACAATTGCGCGAAGGGCATGGTTACGCTAGAGGCATAAGGAAAACTGAGACTTAGGCATTGAAGATTGAATTACTAGTGATATTCTACTTAATGCTCTAATTATGCACGAACTTAAGGTACTCCCAAATTGATTGTAATTATTTTAGAATTTAAGTTACACCCAATTTGCCTTTTTCTTTTTTTT